CTAATTTCATAGCATGTGTAGAATTAAAAGGGGAATGGAAAGAATTTTATATAATATATATATTAAATAAATGTAAATAAAGACTTTAATACTCGTTTCTACTAAAATTAGAAAAATGGTCATGATTTTTTTCACATTCCTGTCAGATTTTCAGAAAAAATGTTAAATGAAATTAAACATAATATAATAATGAATTATACCATTATACCTACACAATATTTATTTTGAGTTATGTATCATAGTCCTTTTGTTTGATATCAAAGAGGTAGGTATCTCAATAAAAAAAAAATAACTTTACCACCAAAGTAACACCGTAAGTTGGAAAATTCTAATCATGATTCTCACGTTAATACTTGGGTAAATGTATATTTAACAACTATGTCTAAATGAGGCTGATAGCGATCTCGATGATTTGATCATTCAATTTACAGCTCTTTATGGTCGTTATTTTATTAACAATTAATTTAATCCTTTAATGTTAATTTAATTGAAAATTTATTTAATTCTATATTATGCAGAGACAAATTACGTATTACTGTTATTGTTTAGCAATCATATTAAAAATATACTGGAAAAACCGTGGTTTGGAGGTAACATTTCATCTCGAAGACGTCATAGATTAATTAACGATTTAGGTGACAACGTTTAGGTAAAAAAAAAACATGAAATTTCAAACAGAAACTATTCAGAAAATTCTGTTTAATACCACACGAGCAAGACTGTAATGGTGACATAACTAAAGCAATATTTATTAGTTGGTTACTCATTTATGAACCTTTTTCGTTTCGTTTAAAACAACTTTCTACATTCTCTTTATTATAAAACTTTTCAATACTTACTAATAGTGCATAGATATATATTTCAGGGCGGGGCGGGGCTCGATCAATATCCAGCACGAACATGGATTGGTTACAGGTGTCTGTTCCCATGAACACTCTGCCTACCGTTTGAGTTAAATCCATAAAGCCTTAGCCTGTCTTTCAAAATAAAGTTATCAACGATGTTTATCGAAAAAGACAGTGGACTAGTAATGCTGCACCATTATCCTTCCTGAAACGGAAAATTTAGCGTGGTTAAGTAGGTAATACAAGTGGCTGTACATTTGACTCGTACATGACAAACTATTATAAAAGCGGCTCATTATTTTGATATGTGCTGCTTGAATTCTCTATGTTACATCATATATAGTAGATGTTCGTATGAGTATGATACTTTATCCAAGAGATGTTCACATATAAAAACAATGACAGAATAGTTAATTCTCACACAATACCATTATAATTTCCCCTTTGGGAAAGCGTGCATCTGCTTAATGCACGGGGAAACGTTGTGGGCACGCTATACCTACTATGCCGACACTACCTATTATTATTTAAAATGCTCTTTATAGTTACTTTCCTCCATTATGATTGCAGATAAATTGTCATTCAGATAATAATCATAATAATCTTTATGAAACCAAAAACATTTTAACATGAACATAGCGTTAACATCCGCAGTAGTCGAGGACTGTGTCGCAGATGTTAGCGCCCACCTCACATAAACAGGCGTTTCCATTTAAAAGTATTTAAATGGAAAGATCCCAGATCGTAACAATCTTTAAAAGAAAAGATAATTTATAGGAACTATGAACAATCAATTGAGCCTTTAGCGTCAATCGTAAATTAGTTACATAATTATATAGTTTATAGATATGGTAAATAGCAAATTATTAAGTGTTATTGTTTGTAGTTGCCTAGTTAACAAAGCGACGTTATTTAAACTCAAATAAATATAAGTAAATGTTGCTAAAAATTACTGCGAACATTGCAGACTTGAATTAAATTCAGCCAATAATAATATTTATTTAATTTGGTTTACAAACCTGTTGAAACATTACATAATAGGTCGAGGAAAGAGTTTCTTCGTATTTTGTTTCCATAAAATTGAAGAAAAATGTTTTTGGTTGTACTATTTCTATCTGGCTGGTTTTAATATCAACGCTTAAGACATTAAGAAAAAGAAAAAATAAAAGGAAAACATGCGTGAGTGTCGTGGAACACTCGATTGAAACGTTCCTTTCGTAGTATATTATTATTGAGAAACGTATTATATTATTGAATATAATACAAATAAATTCATTACTAGCGTCTATTAAAATCAAGCGTCATTTAAAATAATATTTCTTTCATGGCAATGTAAGAAAAAGTGCGTCGGAGATCGATATTATTCCACCTTGCTTCCTTATAGCCGCCAAGGCCGTCTACACTACGTCAAAAGGGGTCGTGACGGAAAAATCTTACACTTTTTCTCGCCTCGACTCATGCAAGAAAACGGCCGGAACTGATCAACAGAAAAGTAGTGGACTTTCATTATGATAACGCCAGACCACACACATCTGAGGCCAGTCAGCAAAAATTGAGAGAGCTTGGTTGGGAAGTGTTAATGTATCCACCATACAGTCTTGATCTTGCGCCCTCAGATTTTCACCTGTTTCGGTCTCTTCAGAATTCTTTGGATAGTGTTAGGTTACAAGGGAGGACTATCAAAAGCATTGTTTTGATTAAAAATCTCAAATATTCTACAGCAACGGGATTATGTCACTACCTACAAGATGGCAACAAGTTATCAAACAAAATGGCACATATATATATATATATATATATATATATATATATATATATATATATATATATATATTATAATTAAATATAATTAAACTTTGAAAAATATGTATTGAATTTGTGTATATAAATATATATAAAATACGAAGAAACCTTTTCCCCGACCTTCATGTAATTTAAAATTCAAGTTCACCAGTAAAACATACACAGAACTATAAGAACTGAATTGCAATATACGACTTTTACCCTATTAGATTTAGAGATATTAGAAGAACACTAATAAAAAAAAAATATTTTTCATTGCCTAAAAGATTCATATTTAGCGTGATTAGATCGACTAACTCAGATTACATCAGTTACGTCACTCGTCGTACTCATCGTACATTTGAACCCGCGGTACGTACGAGTAGTACTATTATTTGGAGAAAGAGGAAAGAGAAAAGTTTTAGTTTTGGCAATAATCAGGAACATTTCGAAAAATTAACTTTAAAAAACTAACCACACTACACAAACTGAAATCGATTAATATATTTACTATACTGTCAACTGTCAAATTTGCATCGATAAAGCAACGTCATTTTGACCCTCTATTATTTGATTGAATGATGAAGAGCTATCTTATCCATCTGTGCAAACAAGACTGTAGTTTTATAGTTATAATAAAGTGACCATATTAACCGGATGACCATATTACCCTCACGTACTATATAATGAACAAGTGGGAGCCGAGTGATTTAAAGAGGTCCTGAACTGTCTGTGACATAATTAAAAATTAAAAATTTTATACAGCCGACTTCCATATGAGTTATTAAGAATAACTCAAAAACTATTGGTCTGACCTTGATCAAATTCATATGGGACCACACGAGAAGTAGCAGCTTTCAAATAGCGTGTGTCTATAATAACTTCAACATTTATAACAATCAACGTCCAGCTAATGTCGAGACCCGCAATCCTTGCTCGGCTTTAAAGATAACCGATGTATTCTGCCACAGACTCACTTGCCTCTTTTGTCTGAACTTGTAACGTGCAGTTAAAATACTCGGTTTTTCTGTAAACAGCGAACTGATAAAAATGTTTTCAGCCGACTTTCAAAAAGGAGACGGTACTCAATTCGACTGTATGTTTTTTTATGTGTGTTACCTCATAACTTTTTACTGGGTGAGCAGATTTCGATGATTCTTTTTTTATATGAAAGCTGATACTCGTGTGGTCCCAATTTGATCAAGGTCAAGCCAATAGTTTTTAAGTTATTCTTAATAATTTAAATTGAAGTCGGCTGTATAAAATTTTTAATTTTAAATTATTACATGGTCTTTATAGCAGCGTAACGGCATCTGTTTCGCATGGTGAGTGGACTGAACTGGAGACCGTTTTAACTGGAAAGGGGCCATTTCACCTTAGTCCTCAAGGGTGACTACCGCTATTTCACTCTTAATCGAGGATAGTTACCATCAGGTGGACTGTGTGCTTGTTTATCACCCTTGTTGTGAAAAAATGTAACACTTTTGAATTATATTCTATAATAAAAATAAAGGATTTTTACCCAATAAGATTAAGTTTCAGTGAGAGATAGCAAAAAACTAATGTTTTATTGGTTCAATTAGAATGAGATCAGTTAAATAGCATATCAAAAACTTGTACCTCAGGATGTATATTGGGGCTAAATAAATCGTACTGAATTACAATTCAGAATGGTTTTTTACTCTCCCAAATCAACAACAGTAACATACTCCTCTTCTTTTATTAATGGCCGTTATGACCTTTTATTTCGTTGCTGTAATATTTTTATAGAAGTCAGGGTGACACATGAGCACACAATTCTGTTGACTGTAAATAGCTGCTTTGGCCCTTAAATATTCATTATTGATTAAGAATGAAAAATGGACATGCGTTGTCACCTATTATTTAGACTTCTGTGGTTGTCATCCTTAAGGATTAAGATTGAACGTGTCCTTAGCAGTAAAAATGGCCTTCGGATTTTGTCACTCACAAACACAACAACATTATCCTACTATTTTACTACATACTGGCATCATGTAGGTACGTGCGTTCCTTTCCTCGTTAGAGCCGACTCATTCGTGTTGCAGTGAAAACTACACTGCAATGTTGCTCTATCACTGAAGTTATGATAACAAAAATAAAAGAGCACACGTATTTTTAATTAAATAACCATGTTTATTATGTATACATGTTTTTTACATTGCGGAATTAAGAATAAATAATTTCTATATCTTATATATTTACAAATAAAAAAATTATCGAACGAAGTACATAATCAATAGAATAAATAGATTATTTACATGAATACACATATTTATATATTTTTAAGATTAATGGCATATCTATCGCTTAAAGAGATCAACAAAGAGTTTGTGTTACAAAAAATAAATCAATTTATCTTAGCTCTTCTTTCTCTATAACATTGTTTGAACTACAGCATGTTTTAGGATCTTCAGGAACCCAGATTTTGGCGTGCAGCGTTCCTCCTGGTGGCCGCTCTCCACGTCTCGACCATGACAATGAATGTGCTTGAAAATTACTACCTGAAACAATCAAACTTTGTGACAATATTTTCAGTGAGAAAAAAATATGCATACACACATAACTATCCTGATAAAAACAGCGTCGGACTTCATAAATTAAAAGAATCATGGTCTTATTAAAAATCAACAGGAATGCCGTGGAGGAACTACACAAAGAAGAGCTTCTCTGATGAGTTTTAACATTTATGTAAAAAAAGTAAATATCAAATAATGTAATATAGCTTTTACTTTTAAATATTTATATTGCATCAAAATTTTAAGAGATATAAAAATGTATAAAGGCCTTTTTATGTAAAATTGCAAATCAAAAAAGATTTGGCTGAAACTTTTTTAGTTTATAAGATAATCATTAAAATAATTCATTTATGAGTTTTTCAATTATACAAAACTTCTCCATGTTTGTCGAACAAAATAAAGCCTTGATCACTCCTGGCACTACTCTCTATTCGTGAAAGTTACATCACAATAGGTTCAGCCATTTCAAAGATTTCCAGACTGACACACAGACAGACGACAAAAATTTAAGAAATTTCTTAATGGTTTACAAATAATCCCCTGAGCAAAGAAGTATTAAAAAAGATAGATTACACACTAACATTATTGTATTTTAAAGTGGCGTTACAGTTATTTATTATGACACGTTGCGCTAACAAAAAGAGACAAATGATACGGCATACCTATCGTTCGAAAAAGATGAATATACATCATTAGTTGCGTATTATTGATTGCTGCTGAGCGCTCATTGGCGCGGGCGCGTGAGATACCGATATGGAAATGAACACACTAGCTAGCGTCAAAGTTTACACTAGCGGTTACTGTTAAAATAATAAAACCAATTATGAACAAAACATCTTTATTCAAAATATTAATGAGACGTTTTTCTTGTCTCTAACAGTTGCCGTGTAATTTGTGCACCACCTAAAAACACAGGAAGGCATTTTTACCACGAACAACTAGAAGATTTACGCGCTATAGCGAAGGTATAGCCGCAACGCGAGAGCGTGCCCGACTGAATGTGAATGCGAATCGGGCAATTACCTTACTTTCGTATTGCCATTTTAGAGCGAGTATGACGTATCTAAACTTTAAATACATCTTAGCCCCTGAGTTAGTTATTTTGATAATACTGACGGAAACTTTAATTTTGTTTATTTTTTTTTGAATTATAGGTATTTTGAACAAACTAAAAACGTTGCCCATAAAATGTAAGTGTTAGGAAGTTAATATTTTAACTTTTTACTCTGATAATCTGTAAATTAGTTGTAAAATTTTCGACAAACATTTTAACTTACAAATACGCCACTGTGTTTTGACAAACTTGAAATCCACTCTTTGTGATAATGGTAGCCAAGTGTCAAATAATTTCTATAATTATATAGGTACAATTTCAGATGCCTCGAAAATATAAAAGAACTATAGGAACGTGTCACTGGGGTCTGGATTTGCTAGATCTTGACCCCAAAAGGGTTAATATCGATCTTGATGGTATTATACGTGATGGCAAGTGGCTATTGCAGTCCATGGGCACATGCAGCCAACAAAAAAAAAAACAGAGAAAGCCACAGATGCGTTGTCACTGAGATGGAATCAATTTATATTGGCTCTCCAGACTATTGTGATTATTTCCAAGTCGACTGCGAAAAAAATCAACGATAACCATCGAGACATTTTTACTATCGTAACAATTGACTCCAACATCTCTGAAACCAAATATGATATATATCGATTTTGAAAGCCAAATCAAATAACTACAAAAGATACTCTTTAACTAAATATTTATAGAGCTGTCATAGTTTTATTGGGGTATCAAATTTTAAACGACATTAAAAACACTCCTCTGAAGCCTGTAGGGAAGCTATATTACACTCGTACGTACTAATCTACGTATTAATCTGTTTTCCTTTTATATTCTGAAAGTTTTTAAGGAAACCCAAATTTGTTAACTATTGTAATTAACTAAAGTGGTCCTAATAGCGGTTACAATAAGCACGGACATGACTGTTAAATAAAATGAAAAGGCTAATCTGTAATCAATGAACTTTCAATTAGACTCGCACAATCGCTTGTGTACAACCCTAAGCGAGCATAAACAGAAAATTTTATTTATCCGCAATTATTTTGAAGAGAGCGTAAACAGTTCTCCCCGGGGGCTTCTAACTAAACATTTCGCGATGTGGTACAATGACGGGGTGTTTGGTTGGGGAACGAATGCGGGGGTGCATGCACGTGCGCACTGTTATGTCCCCTTGGCCCCTTGCTCTATGCTGTTAAGAGCTGACCGCAATCTATCGATATTTAAAACTATTATTTATATAGTGTTCTCCGAACTAAAAAAATAATTAAATAATATAATAACTTATGTTAAACGCTGCTCTAGTTGAAATAAAATATGAATAAACTATCAATTTTTATTCAAATACGTGTGTTCTTAATAACAGATATAAAAGTTTTAATACATAGTAAATAATTAGTCTCATTTCTATTTGAAAATAATTTAGCATGAGATCTGTAATTATTATTTTTAATATCTAATTCTCTATCATCTAATTTCAGTCCAGATGAAAAAAAAAGTAATAGTGTTACTCACGGTTTATTGTTATCGATACATATTTGAGTGTTATTCCCTACCGATAGTAGGACGAACGTTTATACAAGTGCATTAATAACAGTTTAGGACTATATCACAGTAGACATATTGAGCATTTCCGGTAATTAGACCGCTTGTCGCGTTTGAAACTACCACAAATGACGAATTTGTAAGAAATCATGACTTTAGCTTACTGTAATTTGGATTTAATTATAAATGGATACTGTTATCGTATCAACTTCTCTATGGTCCTATTTATTTCCATCTAGTTGTAAAAAAAGTTAAAAACTAATTTTGGCCGCGGTAATTTTTGCCAGCATATTTGGCTAAGGCACCTAGCTCTTCCTCAATTCTTAAGATTTGATTATATTTGCCAATGCGTTCAGAACGTACTGGTGCACCACATTTAATTTGCCCTGCAGATAACCCAACGACCAAGTCAGCAAGGAATAAGTCGTCCGTGTCCCCCCACCTGTCAGTCACTACGACACCAAAGCCGTTAGTTTTCATCAATTTAAAAGCTTCTATTATCTCTGTAAGCGTGGCTGATTGGTTTATCCGTATACCTAAAGTATTACCAGCTTTTTTCTCGACGGCTAAACCTATTCTCCTTAAATTTGTTTGCGTTAGGTCGTTTCCAAACAATTGCATCTGAGTGCGTGCTGCTAAAGTTGACCAGCCAGCCCAATCGTCATAATCGAAGGCGTCTTCGACGGAGCACATGGGGAACTCCTTCATATTTTCAAGATACAGCTCGGCAAGCTTATCTGAAGACATATAATCTTGAGGGTTGGAGTTGGGGTTTTTGAAATCTAAATCATAACCTCCATCTTTGTATAAATCCGAAGCGCAGGCATTTATAGCTATTTCAACTTTTCCTGCATATCCACATTGTTTTATAGCATCCGTTAAGAAAAGGAGAGCATCTCTGTTACTCCGCAATGGTATGGCAAAGCCACCAGAATCGCTAACGTAAGTTGACTCGATTTTAAACTTTGATTTTATAATCTTTTTCACATATTGATAAATATCAGTGCCTAAGCGCATTGCATCAGCAAAAGATGAAACTCCGGTAGGCATGATCATATATTCCTGAAACGGTAGATCATTAGAGGAGAGATTACCGCCTGTTAAAATTGTAAAATGTGGGACGGGCATTATTATGCTTGTTATTTCAGCCATATCGGAAATGTGTCTGTAAAGAGGCATTCCTTTCTTTGCTGCCCCAGCTTTTGCCACAACCATCGATACACACATAATAGCATTAGCCCCGAGTCTTGACCTATTGTCGGTACCATCAAGAGCTAGCATGAATTGATCAATTTCTTTTTGCATCGTTACTTCATAATTTTGCTTTATAAGTTCTGGTGCAATTATCGTATTTATATTTTTAACAGCATTGCTCACGCCCATACCCATGTACTGACTAGGATTGTTATCTCGTAGTTGTACTGCTTCTGCAACCTTTTTGACATCACTATTAGGTACGCCGACACGAAATAGACCCAACTCAGTTACCATGTCCACCTCCACTGTCGGCACGCCCGTTGAATCGAATATTTGACGGGCAAGCAATATCTTTATCGGCATTACTACGAAGATTATTAGGTCAATATATTAAAATATTAAAGACGAGAAAATATCAAAGACAATGAAAACTTAATGTCATGTTGACAGTTTTTTATTGTTTTGATATTTTTTATGTGACCAGAAATAATTTCAAATACTTACACAATCCATACACTCGTCTATATATTGCATTTTTTTACTTTGGATTAGAATATACAATAAAGCTCAACATTAAAATCAACAGATTCGGGGACCCTACGGCACACGTGCGCGATAATCCCTATGTAAATCATACATTACTTTCCGATAAGGTGTTTTTATTAATTGAAAGAGTGATTATGTGCTTTAAAATTGACCAGAATAATTTTTAATACAATAATATTTGAAAACATTTTATTACAATATAAGTACTTACATTATTTATTAACAAAATAACATGAAAAACTATAGGTAATTATTACAGTCCTAACCCCGCGGTATTATAGTGTTATGAACGCTACTAAGTTTCCTCGCTAAATGGCTTTGGTGAGAAAAGGCCAGACCTGGCGTGGCGACTGTCATTCATGTATAATAATTATTATTTTGCAGTTGTAATATAGTTAAAACACGAATGCTGCAGCTATGTTCGTAGTATAGTTGTAGCACGAATGGGTCGGCTTGACCGGGGAAGGACTTCGCTCTCACAGAATACCAGCGTAAAATAGCAGTTTCATGCTGCTGTGTTTCGTAAGGTGAGTGTAGAGAACCGGTACTTTTTACAAGAAACAAGGCATTCGATTTTAGCCAATAGGAGTGACAACGTATCTGCCGCATAATTAATCGAGGATAGATGTAGATGTCTATG